TTTTATTTGAAACAATATCTATATTTGACATAACTGTTTTTATTTGAAACAATAATTTTTTTTATTTGAAACAAATACAATTTTATTGACACAAATAATAATTATTTGATATAAATAAAAACATTTATTTGAATCAAATACATTTTTTTAGTATAGATAATTTTTTGGTATTTTAAATAATTTTTCAATTTTTTTAAAAGAAAATTTCGAAAAATTATATAATATTACCTCAATATTCTGTTAGAAATATAATAATCATTACTATATTATAAAAAGATATCGCCGCCACCGCTGATTCAAGAATGAACGCTAGGCGAGAACTTCGACACTACGCGGGAGCTCACAGTACTCGCCTACTGTTCAACTCGCGAAGCATTAAAACTCGCGTACCGTTCAGAATTTGTCTCGAAAATTTCAGATATTGTACTATCTATATCAAAAACATACGTTAAAAATTAACATAAAATCAATACTCAAGGTCAAACGACAGAATAATAGATTAAAACGAACATAACTTCAAAAATCAAAGAGATATGTCAAAATCCAAAGTTTTTGATGAAGTAGAGATGGACATAACCTCAAAACTATTATCAGAGGTCAAGATATGACCCTCCCTTTAAACTTTTAAAGGTCATAGGTCAAAGGAGAACATAACCTTAAATTTACGTTGAAGATCATAGGCGTGTAGGCGAACATAACCTCAAAATTTGGTCAAAGTTATAGAAAAAATCTGCCATTACCCCAAAATTAAGGTCATAGGTGATCGTCATCCGTGATGCATCTTAGAAACAAATTCTTTAAAATGAAATAATAAATTTTATTTAAAAAAATTTGGGTAAAATTAATCTTTAAAAACATATAAAAACTTATTCGGTCCCTAATTAATTATTCAATTGCAGAATAGATGAAAATTTAGTTTACGGATGCAAGTTAAAATATATAGTTTATGTTCATATTAAAATATAAATAAAATTCTGCTGTTCAAATTTAAAAATTTTTTATTAAATATAAATTTAATCAAAATAATATTTAATATTTTTAGTAAATTTAAATAGAGGATTGGCGAGTAATAATAATAATAAATTCTCAGAGTCATTTTATTTATATGTAAAGAGTAAAAAAAAGAAGAAGAGACATAGCTGATAAAGGCAAAAGATACTATATACTTTAAATTGCAAGGGGAATTTTGCAAAGGTTCAAAATGTAAGAAACTAAGGTCTCGAACTTAAAAGGGCTGTCGTTTTTCGATAGAACGACTGCATAGTATACAAGGACACACAGTAAACGAGTCTCGTCTCGAAGCTTCTGCAATATTCAGCGCGTCGAGGGATGCATTGCAGCGCAGAAATAGAGAAATGGCAACTTGGGGCTATCACTGAGAAAAGAGAAGACACCCCCAACCGAGAAGAACCATGCTAAATAAAAGAGAGAAAGAGAGTACAAAAAATAAATAAAGAAAAAAGACAGCAGCGAAAATGCTTCAATAAACTAGAAACCATTTTCCGTTTTTCCTAAAAAGCTTTGATTTGAAATCGAAATTTTCATATATGTACACATTTTCACTGATGCTATTTATGTACCTATTGTATATAAACCAATTTCCACTTTTGAATATAAAATTATCATAGAATAATTTAGTAAAAATATCCCCCTAAACTTAAGATTGACATTTACTTATTATTTTTATATAAGGAATGACAAAAAAAAAACATTCGAAAACTGAAGAAAAATATTGTCTGACTAAACCCGCCTTTTACTACTTAAACCAAAAATTACAACAAATTCAAAAACACAGAAACTCATATTAAAATTAACTTAATTGAAACCATTTCTAAAAATTATTTTTACCAGTTTCTTCTATAAAAATTCCTAATTGTTTTGTGACTGACTAAATTTGACTTTTACTACTGAAAATTATTATAAATTTAAATTTTAATTATAAGTATTATTTCAAAAATTTCTCTAATAATAGTCATTGTTTTTAACCTTTTTTTTAAACAATACTGTCTTAATAATAGTTTCTGAGAAAACTTGTGCATTTCTTTGAAATTACGCTCTCTTTGTTCAAAAGAGAATATATAATTTGAAAGAATTATTATCTGAAACACGCTTAAATGAAACTTTAATTTCCTGAAATACACTTTCTTGAAAAGTTACCAACTTTTTCTTTTTTAGCAAAGAAACTTTAGTGTTACTTTAAAAAAAAAAAAAAAAAACTCATTTATTTTAAATTGTACTGTTATCTCTATAAAAAAAATTTTTTAATTCTTAAAAAAACACATAAATATTTTGGAAAATAATTTTTAAAAAACTTTTTAAATTATCGAAACTAAAAATTAATTTTCATTTTTAAAAAATTGATATTTTTTTTGATGAAACTAAAAAGTTTTAAGAAAAAAAAATTCAAAATTTGTTTGTAAATAGTTTTCATCAAAAGTAGATTTACATTTTCTTTATATAAAAAAGCTGAAAACTTTCCATAAAGAATGTAAATTTGTTTTATACGAAAAACTAAAAAATTTTTTCAAAGAAATTTAAATTTTTTTTAAAAAATAGCTTTTGCAACTTGTTTTCACATACTCGAATTTTGCGCTTATAAATCTCAAATGTTTTTTTCTTTATTTTCTTTTGTAAATATTTTTTTTTTTTTTTACCAAAAACATTGAAATTCGACACTCTTGTACATTTCGAAACACTCGAATAGTTTTGTGATTCAAATATTAAATCATAGATGGCGTTAGGTAAGTTTCTTTTTTTTCGCAATTACTTCGAAAAAAAAGTGTATTTGAAAATTTTTTTTTCAAAAATCTACGTTTTTTATAAAAAAAAAATTAGATAGTAAATAAGAGAATGTTAAGATGAAATTTAATAAGATAGAATTTTTTTCTCTGTTTTTTTTTTTTTTTTGGTTTTGTTTTTCTTTTTTACGTTCAAAGACACGAGAGAGGAGGTTATTACTTATAAAAGGTAGAGTCTCTCTTCAATTATTTTCCAGCAATGGGACTTCCCTTTCGCTTGTTTAGTGTCCTTTCTTATAATCTTTTTTTTTATACTCTCCCCGCGCGCGCTTCCCACGAATCGAGGCCCACGTGCGCTCAACGAGAAATAAATTATCCTGTCTATAAAGGATAAGGACTCCAAACCATTGGAATCGTGAGGACGCCTCGTTGTCTTCGTGACTCAAAAACTTTACTCGTTATATGAGACGCCCTCGCACACAACTGTCTCTCAAATCTCAATCAACGATCTTTACATACAAAAAAAAAATTTTCTCTAAATTTTCATTTCTTGAAAAAAATAAAATTATAGTTTATATATTTTTTTTAATCTTCTAACTTTTAGGAGAGAATTTTTCATTATCTAAAAAAAAAGAAAACAATAATATAAAAGAAAAAAATTTGGTATTGCGCGAATGTTTGTGAAATCATTAATTTCCTAGATTATTAAAAAAGTTTACGCTTCACTTTTTAGGAGCGGACGCGAGTGTTCCCTTTATTTCGAAGGCGTTTTTCTTTCTTTTTTTTTTTAGTACACCTCTAAGAAGATGTTTCATAAAGTCAAAGAGCAAGTTTTACACTCCAAGATAAGACGAAGGATTCCCCAAGAACACTTCGTTTTGAATTCTCTCGGAAACGAGACTCTTGTCAGTAAAAATAAAAAAAATAAAAAAAAAAAAAAAAGAAAGAAACTTTCAAATAAAGTTGCTGCATTCAACGAGACGTATCTTTAACATTCTATGTAGCTTATCATTTCGTATGAAATAAACGGTGTTTCCTTGAAGAAAGCATACTCGACAATAAATATTGAAAAAAAGTACACAAAACTTAAACTATTCATTATTAAGTCAAACTCATTATGGCTTTAAAAAAAAAAACCTTTTTTTCAAAATATCAAGTTTAGAAAATTTTCTTTTTGGTAAGAAATATTTAAGACAAAAAATGAATTTTGATTTATTTCAATTGATAAATTCATAAATGCTAATTTAACAAAAGAATATTTGTCTAAAAAATAAATATATCTAATAAAATTCTTTAAAATTTTTATGAGAAATACAAACGTCAGGAAAAATTGCGAATTTATTTTTATTCCGTAATAGCACGAGGTCAATATAATATTTTATTCACGAAAATATTGGAATTATTATAAATATATTTTTCTGACGATCTATAATAATAATAATTTATGGTATGAAAAGACAAGTTGTCATATGCATATTTACTATTCAATTTTGTTTATACTTTGTTTCTACAGGATATTTCCACGTTTATATATATATATATATTCAATACAAAAATGCAAATATGAGAAGTTTGACATGAAACCGCACTACCAAATCGCTCCATGAAGATGTTTATAGACTATTTTTCTGCTTTTATATCCGATTTTAAAACGTCTAGAAAGTGCACTTTTACGATGCCTTCCAAACTGTCATATATTGTATAAATTTTTATGAAAAGTGAAAATTATAATATTCACTTTTAAACTATAAATATATATATTTAACTCCAATAATGGATTTTTACTACACAAATTTTTTTCTTAAAAATATTAGCTTTTTTTTAATTTTTCAATAAAAAAAAAAATCATTCTTTCTTTAATTCAATGTTTACATGGAAAAAAATATTTCTATTTGATTCAAAGAAGTTACTTATATAATTATTAAATAAATATTTACTGGAATTAAATAATTTTAATCTCAATTATTTAAATACAAAAATTATTGGTTCATATATACAATTTATTTAATTCAATTATTTGGTTACAAAAATTATTTAGTTCAAGTAAATATTTTTTTTTAAATCAAGTAGCCGATTATTTAAATTAAATTTTGTTCAATGTATTAAATATTTATTTGTAAATTTCGGTCTGAAATTTACTTACTGAAACTTTTTACTATAAAAAAAAGTACAAGAATAAAATAATTTCGTCTCAAAATGACTTTGAAAACAAAAATGCAAAAATAATCTTAATATAATATAGAATAAATAAAAATTACATACCATGAATTCAGAATAGTTGTGCCTGGCTCAAAATTGACCTTCACATGTACGCTGAAAGCAAAATTCACAAGAATTAAAATAGTCATTAATAATCAAAAATAATTCAAATAGAAAAAAAAATTTTTGTTACCTTACGTGTTATTTAGGAAATATGAAAATAAAAAATACCAATCTTTTCTGACTATATACAGAATGATTTTTATGACCCCCTGAAAATTTTTTTTAATTCTCCCCCTTTTTTTTGTTTAAAAATCCCAAAAAAATTAAGATTAAAAAAAATTTTCAGGCGGTCATAAAAATCACCCTGTAATAAATGGGTGCAAGAAAAAAAAACTAACGGCCAAAAAGATTTATTATAATTTTAGCAAAAAAAAGTAATTTAAATATATACCCCACTCTTTGAAGTACATTTAATTCATCTGGAAATGAAGTCCGCTTCATTTCCGGATGCAGCAAGCTGCTTTCGCCAAAGGCACTTAAAAAGTGCAATTTGCAGTTAACATCCTTGATAGTTTAACCCGAATTGCGTTGGTTCACTGGACATGAACATTACACGTAGGTTGAAAGAAGAATATATTCTCAATAACACGCGTTGGTTTTCCTCTGATTGGAAACAACGAAACTCAATATCAATGCGGGCGTATACTATATATATATAGTGACAAGTGTTTTATACATTGAGTAACGATCCCTAGGTAATCAATAAAAAAAAAAAAAAAAAAAAAAACAAGTGAAATATGAAAAAGTACCTTTTCAGAATATTTTTCTTATAGAAAGTCTTTCATATCATTTATGACGGATTGAGGATATTAAAGTGTAGGCGGGATTCTTGTTTCTTGTATATATATATATATGTTCACGTTTATATCAATCGTTTGATCGATCGAAGCACTTTCAAAACTTGTTTTTATTAAATATTAAATTTATTCAAACTGCTCAATTGATAGAATGATGAGACAAAGAAAGACGAAAACAATCAGGAAATCAAATATCGAAAACAGTAAATAAATTTTTTTAGTAAATTATTTCGAGAACTTATTAAAAGAAAATTTATATTTTAATATTATTAAATTTATATAATTTCATTAATCTTAATTGCATTAGTTATTTTCTCGTAAAGGGTTCTCAGCCTTTAAATTTTAACAAGAAATAAAACTATAAACAAAAATAAAATCAATAAATGTAATTTTCAAAATAAATTATTTTACCCAAATGTTTACAATAATTATTGTATTTTTTTTTTAAGATGAACAATTATTATTAGTAAGATGTTTCGTTTGGATCAACTTGATACTTTTAGTATTACAGTGGAAACTCGATTATCCGAACCTCTATTATCCGTAATCCTCTATTATCCGAACCGAAAAACATTTTATCCGAACTTCTATTATCCGAACTATTTTTTGGTCTCTCGAATTTTAAATTTTATTTCTCTATTTATTTTACCATTCACTCATTTCTGAGAAGAATGCGTGATTTGGCATCTAAAAAACGAATAGATGCTATCTTTCAAAGCAAAATAACCAAATTTATGCCAAAAAAAACTCAAAAAATTTCCGAATTTTCTGAGTTTTTAATATATTATTAATTAATATATATTTACATATATGTATATATACTTATATATATTTAAAAACATATGTATTATGTTAAATATATAGTTCAACTGTACATTTTTTTACTTTAATTATAAAAAAAAATTAAAATCTCTATTATCCGAATTTTCGATTATCCGAACCCGGCCTTGCCTAGATTAGTTCGGATAATCGAGGTTCCACTGTATTTGAATAAATTAATTTAATTATTAATTATCAATTATTAATTATTAATTTTTAATAAAAGAATATTTTTTAACCTCTACACTAGTCATAGTATATATATATATATATGAAATGATAGTGAATTTGAACAGGATATTCACTACCTGTTGATCGTCAACGGCAATTTTGTTAAGCTCGCAATCACATGTTCTCACACGTATTTAATTCCTCTTTCGTCTATATCTAGGGCGATTATAAATTTTCTATTCTCACCCGATAATAAAAATCGGTTCACTAAATTGAATTACATATATCCCATCGCATTTTAAAGCTGCTTCGCTTCCTCTATATATATACCATTGAAAATCAATTTTAATTTAATTTAATCCTCTCAAATTTTATTTTTAGATTCATAGAAAATCTGTGCCTACCTCAAAAAATAAAAGAAAATTAAATTTTTTTTCTATATATTAAAAATATTTTCAATTAAAATTTTATTGCTACAATAAAAAAATGTTTAAACAATAAATAAATAAAATTTTGATGAAAAATATTCATATATATTTTATAAAAATTCCCCTTTCTTCAAAATGAAATTTCAATTTTCAAAACTTAAAATTAAATGTCTTGTGTGCGTTTAATATGTAAATTGCAAAGTTCTATGACGTTTTCCCAAAGAAGAGAGAGAGAGAGGGAGAGAGAGAGAAATGCAATAAGTCTCAGAAACTATTTTACTCGAATACTGACGGTTCGGTATTCTCGAAGTTGACGAGTGTTCCAAGTGTCTGTGCAAGTTCTCAAGGCGGCGGAAAATTATGACTTATGAATGTTAAACTGGATTTGGGACGCGTTGTTCCGGAAGTGGGCGTCTTAACCTTACGGGCGGGAGAGAAACGAGTGAGAGAAAGAGAGAGAAAGAGAGAGAGAGAAAGAAAGTGACTTCAACTCACGAAAGGAGGATTGAAATTTTAATTTATAATTTTCCGTGGGTATATATATATATTTTCTCGATGCTCCTTTTTTGGCTCAAGGGGCGTCTTCAAATGAATATAATTAGAAAATTAATGCGCACATGACTATGTAAAAATGCATTTTTATATTTTATTGTATTTATATAAAAAAAAGTTCGCAAATTTTTTTTTCTATTTCTACATTTTGAAACAGTAAAAATTTTTGGTTTTTTTTTTTGCGAAACAAATATTGGCTTTTTTTTTGTTGGGTAAAGAATACTTTGTATATTATTTACAAAAGGCTCGACAATAAAAGTTTTATAGGCACATTTGTTTTTCATTTTTTTTTTTTTTCTAAAGTGAAAGACGTGACACAACAATTCTATTCCATGGGGAATTTTCAGTGCAACTGGCTACGTGGTCGACATTCATGTTCTCTGGTAACGGCAATAACAGTGCAGGGACACAACCCCAAGAGAAACCGTACAATAAACTTTGTCTCTGTATTATTTCGTTTCTATTCCTACTATGAAGCAAAATGCACTTTCCAAAAGCCAAAAATATATACTCAAATTGTTTAATAACCATTCCTTTAAATCAAAGAGCTTTCAAATTGAAATTTGTAACAAATAACAACCAATCTGAAACATATTCCATTGTTTTCTTTTATTTTCAAACTATTTTTTTATTTCCATTATTATTTTATTGCAGTGGGGAGGGGGGGGGAATAATTAAATTTGAGATAGAAAATTTACAAGACGGAATAAAGAAAATTGAAATGGGAAATGTAATAAAATAAAAGAAAGAGAAGAAAAAAATAAAGAAGAGAGTCCACACCAATAAACCGATTAAATGAACAGTGGGACAAGTGTCACGTAAACGAAGTGAAACAGACAGGTTTTGAAGCCACTTGGATGTATTGTGTGTGATCAAATTTACTCCCTCATATATATATATATGTATATAGATACTGTTGTTGTCTGTGAAAGTAGAGTGTAAGCTATAAATGCATTTATGTCTCCTACATAAAGATGCATGTGCTAGAAATAGTTGGAAAGCAGAAAATATCCGGAGAACAATATCAAAAACCTTTAAAAGCATATGGCTAACCGTGTATAGTACCATTAAATAGTTATTATATATACGTGTCCTTGTCACTATATATCTCACACAAAAAATTAAGCACACAAACCACTCTCTATATGACAATTTTTGAAAAAAAAATCCTATTACACTGAAAAAAGGGTTTGGTATTGACAACCAAACGTTTGGTTGGTATTTAAGCAACCAAAATTATTTTGTTGAATCAACAACACAGAAAATTAAAAGGCATTAAAATAAGCTGCAACGCTTATTATTTTAATTCAATTTTGCTTATTTTAACACCAAAATGGATTAAAATAAGCTTATTTTAATGCCTTTTAATTTTCTTGTGAAAATTTTAATTGTCTCAATCAAAATTTGTTTGACACAACCAAAATTAGAAAAAAAGGATTTTTGTTGTCCTAACTAAAGTTTGATTGGGACAACCAAAATTTTATTGATTCAATAAAACAATTTTGATTGCTTAAATACCACACGGTGCGCCAGAAGATGGTTTAAATAAAAATGAATTGGCACTTAAAAATTCTTTTTGATTATGATTCTTAAATGAATAACAAACATTTCTCAATAGTTTTTAAAATTAGTTTACGTGCCCGATTTAAATAAAATTGAGTTTTTATATAAAAACAGTGTTTTATGGGGAATCAGAATTTATTTAATCTAATAAATACTGTAATAAATGATAAAATAATTACTTATTTTCAATTTTACATATAAATAATTATATTGCTGTAGTGTTTGTGTCCGATTTTAAAAAATTAAATTATAATGTTAAAAGAACGATTTTAAGAGTGACAAAATTTATTTAAGAGAATCGAATGATCTCTGAAATTTTTTGGCAAGAAGAGACCTTTAATTATCGCTCTATAAAAACTGCACTAAACGTGAAAATGACAAACATTGATTTTAAAATACTTTCTTCTCGAAAGATGGGCACTTTTTACAAAAGCAGCTAGATATCCTTATCTTATATAAATTTTCTAAATCCGAAAGATTATACGAATCCATACAAAAACACGATTGCAAAACGAAAAGTAATATAATGAGGGGTTCTTGCTTCTGCCGCCGTCAGATGGCAGCAGCATGCAGGGCGCACAAAGTCCCAGCTGTTATTAGATTACTTTTCTACTTTTTGTTTTGCAACCATGTTTTTCTATGGATTCGTACAGTCTTTTGGATTTAGGAAATTTATAAGATGAGGATTTTGGCTGATTTTGTTAAAAGTGTTCGTGTTTCG